CTGCACCAGACACGACCCGTGGGCGACAAGCTTCTGGAGCCCGCGTGCGCCAGGGTGTGCGAGACGGTCAGGCGCCGGTCCAAGCGAGCGGCCGCGGGCGATGAAGCTTTAATCGTAAGATAAATATACATATATATATGTGTGTGTATGTATAGTACGTGCAAATGAAGCCGTGCACGGATGCGCGCGTTCGCCCGCAGTCCACAAGCAGCTACGCGCGGGCAGATCGTCCCGACGCCGGCGCTGCTCGCAGCGGCGATCACGGAGAGCGCGAGGGCTTGGAGTCTCCTCCCAAGTCTGGCCAGAGTCGGCGCTGTCCCCCCCAAAAAAAAAAACGCCGACCGCGGCATCCCCGCATGTGACTTCAATCGATCAAAATTTCGGCCAGCGCCCACTTGCGTAGACAGACATATATATATATACACAAATATATAGTTGTGTTCATAGACACGTAAATATATGTATGTATGAATGTATGTATGTATGTATGTATGTGTGTATGTATGTATGGATGCATGCATGCGTGTATGTATGCATGTATGTATGTGTGCCTGTATGCATGTATGTATACATGTATATGTATCTGTGTGTATGCATGTATGTATGTATGCATGCATGCGTGTATGTATGCATGCATGCATGCATGCATGCATGCATGTGTGTATGTATGTATGTATGTATGTATGTATGTATGTATGTATGTATGCATGCATGCATGTATGTATGTATGTATGTATGCGTGCATGCATGCATGCATGTATGTATGTATGTATGTTTGTATGCATGTAAGTATGTTTGTAGTATGTTTGTATGTATGTATGTATGTATGTATGTATGGTTGTATGTATGTATGTATGTAGGTAGGTAGGTAGGTAGGTAGGTATGTATGTATGTAGGTAGGTATGTATGTATGTATGTAGGTGTGTATGTGTGTATCTATGTATGTGTGTACGTACGTACGCACGTACGTACGTAGGTAGGTAGGTCGGTAGGTAGGTAGGTAGGTAGGTAGGTAGGTAGGTAGGTAGGTATGCATGCATGCATGCATGCATGCATGTATGTACGAATGTATGTATATGCGTCCGCGCACGCGCGTATGAACACATGCCAAGGTAACCGGACGCTATGCACAGCTGTCCGTGCCCTCGCGGCCTGGACAGGGCGCGAGCCCCTGGGAACGCCCGTCCCACGGCTGCGCTCCGCGCAGGGGGCGGCCGCGCGGAGCCGCGGCGCGCCCCGCGGGGCCGCGAGGCCCGGGAGCCCGGGGCCGCGAGACCGTGGAGTTACAGTCGGGGCGCTGACCTAAGGAACCCCAAATACGGAACGAGGCCACTTGTTTCCATGAGTTAAACTTCGATTCCCCATCGAAAACCTACGGAAAACAGAAGGCAAACTGTGAAACAATTAAGGAACACAGAGCCCCTCCCAAACGAGAAGGGTTCCTTCTTCAGCGCCCCGACTGTAGGTGTGCCGAGCTCCCCCGCCCTGCGAGCGGCGGCGGCGAGGCCCGAGGAGCAGGCGGGGGCCCAGGGCATACCCGCAGGAGTTTGAGCCGCCTCGCGTCCCCACGCCGACCGAGAGGTCGAAGGGGACGAGGATGAGAAGGGGGAACAAAAACATAGAAGGGAAGCAGCAGGCCTGGAGAGGGGCGGTGTGGGCAGGGCGGGCGGCCCCTGCCTCCGCGTGCTGCCCCCCACTCCCCGACGCCCCTGCTCTGAGGGGCCAGGGCCCGACACGCCCTCCCGCCCAAGGTCCAACTGCCATGCCTTGCCCTGCGGGGGGCGGGGGAGCGCCCCACGAGAGGACGCGCGGGGGACCCGTGGGCCTGCCGCGCAGACGAGAGCCCCGCCTCGAGAGGGCGCCGCCCGGCACCTCCGCCGCCGCTGCAGCTGCAGGAGGCGTCGAGGTGTGCGTGACCACGGATTCCAAGGCGCCTGCCATGGCCTCCTGCCGCAGAGGGGCCGCCAGAGCATCGTTTACCCGATCCCCCCTCCCCAGCGGCGTGGCCTGGGCGCCACTGGCCGATCACCCCCCCTGGATGGGGATGTAGGCCGCTCCCTTCGGGCTTCGAGGGGTGCATCCCCAGCTGGGGGGGTTCTTTGTGGGGGTCTCGGAGGGGATGGGGATGGGGACGGGGGTCGGATAAACGATGCTGAGCCGTCCAGCCGTGTGACTAACGGTTGGGCCGCTTGAGTTTCAGGCCATCGTCCGCCACCTTGCCGTCGGCACCGACCACCCAATGACCAGCCCACCCCAACCCAACCCGAGGGCCCAAATTTCGGGTGGGGGGAGTACGCGTCCCACACATGTTCTTCAATGCTCCCCGTCGCCCACCCCCCCACTCAGAATGGAGGGCATATTGGAGCCTTCGGGTTGGGTTGGGGTGGCTTGGTGGGTGGTCAGGCACTGAGTGGAGCGTCCTCAGACCCAAATATCCCGACGCTTCGATTGTTCCGTGACACGGGCCCCCGACCTCCTGGCCACTTCCCCGGGACCGATTTTTTGTCACCCCGAGTCGTTCCTTGACGGTCCCGAGGCCCGGCGAGGGCCCAACGCGGCCCAAAAACGGCGCAAAACCTCTGCTTCGATTTTGTTCGAGACGCCCGGGGACCGATTTTGTTACCCCGAGTCGTTCCTTGACGCTCCCGAGGCCCGGCGAGGGCCCAACGCAGCCCCAAAAACGGCGCAAAACCTCTGCTCCGATGTCGTCCGAGACGCCCGACGTCCGGAGACCCCTCCGAGTCCTCCGCAGAGAGGCCCAGACCCGCGTGCTCCGGGCGGCCTCCGGAGAGGCCCTCCGCGGCCCCAGAGAAGGCTCAGAGGAGCTCTCTTTGAGTCGGGCCTGTCCCTTACAGGAGGAAGCTTCAGACATCATAACTAGAAGGCAGAGTAAGCATTTGTTTACACATATAAAAGATTTCTTGTATTACAAGAAATCTGGAGACGATGTTTCTACCATGTGTGAGCACTTGGGAATAGTTGTCTGGTATGTCTTATTATTCCTCCAGAATCGCCCCATAGGGGGGGGGACATGCCCGACCTAAAGCTCTCCGAGGGCTGGAGGCCTTCTGAGCCTTCGAGGAGGCCCGCCCCTTCAGCCCTCCCCCCTCAGGATCAAGGGGCGTCGAATCGGAAAAGTGGATCGGATCGTTGGCTTCGCCAATGGCTATGAAGGGACACGTGGATATTTTTTCCTTTTCAAATTTCATTTTAGTGGTCTCGTGCCGAACAACGACAGATCTTATTGAACTGATCTGATCAACGAAAAAACAAACGCGCGCAAAATCCACTGCGGATGCCCTCAGAGGGGCGTCGAATCGGTACACGTTGCGATCCGGGATCGCAACGTGTACCGCACGGGAGCGCATCGGCTCGGAGCCGGCATCGAACCGAATCGGGGGCGCCGGGGTGCACAAGAGCGCCATGCAAGCATCGGGCCGCCGCGGATCGCCAAGAAACAGCAGAACCGAATCGAATCGGGCCAGCCAGAGCCGATACCTCGGAGGCCTGGAAATGGGAACCAACACCAAGACACGGGGCTGCCTCCACAGGGTGGAGACGATCCTAGAATTCGGTGTTGGTGGTAATATTTCGGTCACCTTGGAAGCCAGAATATTACCACCATCACCGAGATCGGGATTTTCTCCCCTCGGTGGAGGAACGCCGCCGATCTTGGTGTTGGTGTCAACCTCTAGGCCTGCGAGATACCGAATCGGATCGATCGGAGCGACATAGGCCCTGCCTGGGGAAACCACCAGGTACCGATACCGCGGGGCGCGTGCTGCCCAGCATCTCAAGGCGGATCCGGTGTGGCGACACGAGGGAGGGCCTCCCAGGAGGCCCAGAGAGGAAGACATGATGGGCCTGCTTTCCACCACCACCACCATAAGTTGGAGGGGAGGAGGAGGAGGAGGAGGAGGAGGAGGAGGAGGAGGAGGAGGAGGAGGGGAAGGAGGAGAAGGAGGAGGAGGAGGAGGAGGAGGAGGAGGAGGACCCCCTCCCCCTCCAACTTATGGTGGTGGTGGTGGTGGTGGTGGTGGCGGTGGTGGAAAACAAGCCCATCAAAAAAGAGAGGACAGGGTAGCAGTATGGGGGGGCCTCTTTTCCTCTGCGCGCGCCGCCGACATCTGCCAGCGGGCCTCCGAGAAGCACCCGCCCTGCCCCAGACATCCAACGCCTCGCCCTTTGACTGGGCACGGGCCCCCAGCCTCCCGCCCGCTTCCCTGGGACCGGTTCTCCATCTCCCGAGTCCTTCTTTGACGGTCCCGAGGCCCGGCAAGGGCCAGGCCGAAGACAACGCAGAACCTCCCTCCCGATCGCTGCGACACGCCCGGGGCGTTTTGAGGGGGGAGGGCCCTGCGCGCGCCCTGGCCGTCTGCCAGCGGGCCTCCCCGAGGAGCACCCGCCGGGGGAGCGCCCCGCCGCGGCGCTGCTCTCTGGCGGGGGGGGCGCCGGCGGGGGGGGGCGCTTCTCGCCAGCGGGGCCTCTGGGAAATGGCCTCCGAGATGGAAGCCCGGAGGCCGCTCCGCCCGCAGGGCTCGGAACATACGCATACATACGTACGTACGTACGTACGTACGTACGTACATGCATGCATACATGTATACATGCATGCCTACGTACGTGCACGCACGCATGCCTACACACATGCATGCCTGCATGCCTACAGACCTACGTACCTACATACCTACGTACCCGCATGCCTACATAACTACATACGTACATACATATACACACATACATACGTACATGCATATATATATATATACACACCAACAGACAAACGTACGTACGTATGTACGTACGTACATACAGACAGACAGACAGACAGGCAGGCATGCATACATACATCCATGTATACAAATATAGAAATACTCCTACATCTCTAAATGCCAACATACATACATACACATGTCATGCAGTACAGCCGTTATCTTACATTGCACTGCAATGCGGTACATTATATTCCAATGCATTATTCGACCTTACACTACAGTACA